ATCTGTCCTATTTTGTATATACAGATACAAAATGGTCCTTCCTTTGTATCCCCTTTTTTTTATTTAGTTTTGTTGGAGATGGGTATTCTTTTGCCATTTAAATATTGTAGGTGCGTGAATTCAGCAAAGTAATCCAATATAGTCCAGTAGTCCATAATAGTAGTGGGTTATCCATAGGGCTGGCAGTGTCAGAAGCTGCTGACTTGAGCCTTTCACAGCTCAGCATATTAATATGGCTTTTTATACCTCATTTTTATACTTTTCTGCTGGATTGACCAAGATAAAGCAAGACCTATATAACCAAGAAATGTACCTTTTGTATCTGATAAGGGTTCCAGCTACTTTGAAGGCTAAGCCAGGAAAATTGCCTGACAGGATATAAAGCTTGACTTCACTACCACAAGCTTGGTCATAGCTGATACTCTGCCCAACAAACGATCCTGGCACATAGCACCAGTCCCCTATCAGGGACTTTAGTAGCCCAAGTCACTAAGAGAGACACCTGAACATTTTGTACCAGCCACTGATGTTGTTTCTTAACTCACACTGGACATGTTCGTAATTTTTTCATTATTCTTTTTTTTTTTTTTAATTTGTTTATTTATTTATTTTGTGTGGCCAGCTTAGCCCACCAGGGGGCGGGGCGGGCTGGCATGTATGTTCATAATTTTTGAGAAAACTGAAATACACTCCATTAACTGCACCACACCTTCGTCTAGTTCAGTATATAGATCCCTTCTCCCTGCCTTGTGGTGCAGGAATCTACTTGTCCCGCTGCCACCAAAGACTTAGTTCTATCAATCCCACTTTGTAGACTCCTGATTGTGACTGCCTCTTTCTCTCATCTTTCAACCCTTTCTACTTTTGGTGGCTGGTTCTCATATGTAACTGAGTTTACTTCTTTGAGACAGGGTCTTGTTATGCAGTTCAAGGTGGACTTGGAACTTACTTTGTGGCTCAGGCTGGTCTCAAACTTGGAACAATCCTCTTGCCTCAGCCTCCTGAGTGCTGGGATTATAGGCATGCCCCACCATTTCAGGATTAAAGATTGAGTTTTTCAAAAACAGATGGCATCATAAATAGAACTTCAAAGTTTGCTTTGAGAGATCTCCTTTAAGACTTTGAAGACTCTGGAGCAGGTTTTGCAAGGTCTTTAGTTTTAACCTCACCTGCACATGAATGAGGGACACATGTGAGGGCCCAGGTGAGCCCAGCACACTTCTGGATATTGCTGATTCCTGGATGTAGGAGTCCCTTCCTCATTCTTGTGTCAGTCCAAGAAGTTAATATTTGTAATCTCAAAGGTACATTATTGGGCCGGGGCGATGGTTCAGTGGAATAAGTGATTCCATGGCAAGTGCAAGGGCTTGAGTTCAATCCCCGGTTCCACCAAAAAAAAAGGTACATTATTGGAATCCCACCAAGTTAATTCCAATCTGCCACTCCCAATGCAACCCACAGCGAAAGTAAAGACACTGAAACATATTTATAATTGGGAAGCCAAAGGGCCCTAAGTCCAGCCATGAAGATGGCTTTCTGGAACCAAGAGGCTGACTCAGGGTCTCACCTGTTTTTTTTTTTTTTTTTTTTTTTTTTTTTTTTTTTTGTGCAGAACCGGGGATTGAACTCAGGCCTTTGCACTTGCCAGGGAAGTGCTTTTTCCACTGAGCCATCTCCCCAGCCCTACCTGGTTTTATTTATTTATTTTTATTATTATTATTATTTTTTTTGTGGAACCGGGGATTGAACTCAGGTCCTTGCGCTTGCCAGGGAAGCGCTTATTCCACTGAGCCATCTCCCCAGCTCACCTGGTTTTATTTAGTGGAGAAGTGGCTTGAGGAGGAATGACGGAGAATTGTGGGAGGTAGGTGAGTACTGTGAGCTGAGCTAGGTGGGTGGCCTACATTTATATGCAGAGAGAGTAATCTGCTTTATGGTAGTGAGATAGTATCTGATGTTTTGGGGGTCTGGTGCTTCAGCTCTGATGTAGCCTTTCAAGCCCCAGGAAGTCATGGCCTCTGTCTCGAGGCTCGATCCCAGCTGGCGGCACAGAGCACTGGCTCTTCATCCTGTCTTAACCCGGCTCACATTAAGGAGCAGCAGGTATAGGCTACCGGGGAAACACGCTTGCCACCTCCAAAGACTATCCCCAGCACCTCAGCTAGACCAATACACATTGCTTAAGGCCAACTGAAGGGTAAACAGAAGTCCTGGCCAGCTCTGTACAGAACAATACACGGGAATAGGGTCAGGCTCAGTCAAGATGGAGACAGTCACTCTTCTTTCAAGGAGAGCTGCTCAGGTGGTCCTCCATACCTGGACAACCCAGAAAACTGTTCTCCTGGCCTCTGGGAAGGATCTCCCTCCTACGCCATGATGATATGTACAGTGAATTCACCAGGGAGTGGCCCTTCTTCATTTCTGGACCACATCCTGCACCAGTGGCCGTTACATCCAGCTGTGCATGCTAGGCCTGTTCAATTACATCAGCAACAAGCACTTCTTGACAGCCTGCTTTTCTTTGGTCAAACTTAGGACCCGGTGCTTGCCAGGCAGGCACTTATGCTGCGGGGCTATCCCTGGCCCTACAGCCTACTTCTGTCTGCAAACCATTCTCCAAGGTGAAGTCCACCTGGGTAATGCTTGCCTTCCAGAAACACTGGAGAATCACGGTTATGTTACCATTTTCTCTTTAAGGCCGTATTTCAGATGAGTGACAATTTCCAGGTAGAACATTAACTTTTGACCTTTTAAGCTGCGCACGTATCACTAGATAATCTAACCCACTGGTGATGAACCTATGGCACATGTGCTCAGCTGGCTGTTTGTATCATTGCTAGCTCTAAAAGGTTTGCCATCACTGGCCAATTGCCATGTCTTAAAACCATTTCCTCCCACTCAATGTATTGTCAAAAGTCCTTTGCAAGTACAAAATGCTATTTTATTGAGTCCTTTGATCACTAACTTTAGTCTATACATATTTATTAATCTTACTCAGGACAGTACGAGCAACACCGAGGACCTGCCTAGATTTTAGCGAACAAAACATGCCCCAGTCTGCAACTCCTGGCTCCTCTGAACTTGGATGGACAACAGGACCACCGCCACCGCCACCGCCACCGCCACCACCACCACGTGACAGCTCCCCACCCTGTCCTCATGTAAAAATCAAAGATAAATTTGCCTGTTTTTCTGTCAGTACGTTCCTCTGTTGGACTTCTCCTGCTGCTCTTTTTCGGTGTATCAGCAATCATCTTTCCTACGTTCCAACCTGTTGCTAAATTTTTCTTTTTTATTTTTTGGTGGAACCAGGGATTGAACTCAGGACCTTGTGCTTGCCAGGCAAGCTTTTATTCTACTGAGCCATCTCCCCGGCCCCTAAATTTTTCTTACCACCTGCAGTACCTGCCTGTCCCATAGCGCGCCTCGCCGGCCAGGGATGACAAGGCTCTCGAGCACGCAGCAAGCAGTCCGGTAACTTCTTTTACTGCTCCTGGCCTTCCCTGCGGGCCTCTCCTCCCACACCGATGCTGTTTCGGAAAGATCAACCACCGTATGGGTCAACCTGTCACAGTCCCTGGGCCGGGCACCTGCACGCCTAAGACTCGCCGCCTGGCGGTCGCTACCCCGCGCCCACTTTCGCCACCAAGACGTCCGGGATGCGGGAGGGGCCGCGACGTACCGGAAGTGGGGCACCCGGAAGTGGGGCACCCCCGCTTCCGGCCCGGCCATCGTGTCCGCTCCTGGAAGCGTTCCCCCGTGTGTCGAGAGGCGTCGTGGGCTGGCCGCGGACTCCGGGAGGCCCGGCGGGGCCCAGCCCGCGTCTCCGAGGCCCCCCGGGAGAAGCCGCCGCTCGGTCCCCAGGGGGCGGTGGGCGCCGAGCCTGCGGGCGTGGCCAGGTGAGCGCGCCCGGAAGCCTGGTCTCGGGTCGCACCGGCTGTAGGAAGGTCGGACGTGACGTGTGGCCGGAAACGCGAAGCCCAGGTTGATCCTCTGATGAGCATCCAAAGTGCAAGGAAATGAGCAAAACGGCCTGTACTTCCTGTAGAGTGGGACCTCAGAGTAGAGTCCGCAGAGACGTCCGTCTTGTCTTTTTAAAGAAGTTGAGGCCCACCGAAAAGTAGCTTACCTAGGGAGCCTAGATGCACGACCACTTGGAAGCAGCGCGGACATACTTTGTTACCTGTAAGCCATGGCTTTCAGCTGGCGTTTTACAGTGTGTACACTGATTAAACGTTGCCACAAACTTTCACATCAGCTACACTAACCACACTCGTGCGTTTGCCGGACATGTGCCAATGACACATAACAAACGTGACTGGGAGGCAGCCCTGCCCTCTGAGTGCTTTCAGACAGTGGAGAAAGGCCAGGTAAGCTACAAACAGCTACAGTACAAACGATGTCTAATCGGGTCACTGGGGCACTAATCGCTCTTAGGCGTGAAAGACAGACAGGAAGACAGGAAGACAGGAAGGGGAGTTGAGCAGAAAGCATCTGGGGTTTTCTGGTGCCTTCTTTGTTTGCTGGCCATCTAGCAGCGTGGAATGCGTGAGTGGTTGATCAGGGGTGCACAGACCAATTAAAATACAAGGTTAAAGTGAGAGATACAACAAGGTGAGCTACCAGCTGTCTTCCTTTGGGACAGTTGGGAAAGCCTTCACGAGAAAATGGTATTTGTTTTAGGTCTTGACAGATGAGGAAGAGTTTGGGGAGAAAGAAAGTCTAGGACGTTAGTCCCAAACTTTCTCTATTGTACATCTTTATCAGAAGAGTTTGGAGAGTACCTTCCCAACACAGATTTATGCATGAGTTAAAGATGTATTACAAGACAAATTTCAATGCATATTAGAAAACATACAAAGGTTAAATAACAAGTCACTGTTTTTACTTGCCCCGTTTGGGATATCTTGCAAGTGCCACGTCAAAAAACATTGCTGGGGCTGGTGAGATGGCTCAGTGGTCTAAAGCACCTACTTGGAACAAGCTAAGCTATGCAAAGCACAGGGACCGCGCTTCAATCCCCAGCACCACATGCCAGCCAGCCCCGCCTCCTGGTGGGCTGAGCTGGCCACACACACACACACACAAAATAAAGAAATAAATGTTTAAAAAAAATAAGCTTTGGGTAAACTGAGGCTCAAAGCAAAAACAAAACAAAAAAAAAAAAAAACACATTGCTGGCTTTCTAATCCTGTATACTTGTGAGAGCAGAGGCCTTGGAATTGTGATCTTGCCTCAGCCTCAGTGCTGAGATTGAAAGCATGTGTCACCACACCGAGCTGGAGCATTGCTTTTTAACTCTGGAGGATCTTTCATCAGCCTCAGGTTGAATGGCCTGGAGACTATGATTTTTCTCTTGATGTCTCTGTAGGTGACATTCCCATCACTTCCTACTCCAACCCTGAAAATTTGAAAATGAGCTTCTGATCTGAACTACAAACCAGACTTAATTGGACCAACTGCAGCTAGAACAACCTCCTGTCTGGGATCGCAATGACCACAGAAAGCAGGGGCACTGTAGGCCTCATTGCCTCGAATGCTGTCTTCCACAAGCGGGAGGGGCAGCAGTCTGTGAAGCAGCAGCTGTGGAGCCAGACCTGGGGAGAGAGCTGCAGTCTCCAGAAGAGCCACCCTTCTGTCTGTGAAATCTTCCGCTTGCACTTCAGACAGCTGTGTTACCACGAGATGTCTGGGCCTCAGGAAGCTCTGAGCCAGCTCCGGGAGCTCTGCCGCTGGTGGCTGATGCCTGAGGTCCACACCAAGGATCAGATTCTGGAGCTGCTGGTGCTGGAGCAGTTCTTGAGCATCCTTCCCGGGGAGCTCCGGACCTGGGTGCAGCTCCACCAGCCTGAGAGTGGTGAGGAGGCCGTGGCTGTGGTGGAAGATTTCCAGAGACACCTTAGTGGACTAGGAGAGGTAAGCACTTATAGTGAGAATGACACCAGCAACTGTTCTCAAGTCTTTGGGTTGGCCCAGGAGTGGGCGTTCTCTGGTTCCCAGCTTCTAGGCTGGTTTGCCTTTAGGATTCCTAAACCTTCTACATGAATAAAAAGAAATAGTTATGTCCTCTAAGCCATAAAAGAAATGCATGTTCAAGCCAAGGTCTGAACTGCTTTGTGAACTACTTCCTTGTGAAATCCACACAGCACTCAGAGATGTGCAGAGCGCTTAGAGTGTGGGGGTGGGGGCTTCCGTGTAATCAGAAGGGCTAATTCTTCAGACCTCTAAGTCCTGCCTCTTAGATTTCTTAGATGCCATTCCTGGACTTCATAATCATTTGTTCCTTTTGCTAGCTCTCCAAATCCAAATAGAGGGTTTTGTTTTTGTTTGGGTGGGAGGCTTTTTTGCTCTTTAAAATTTCTATTTTCTCTATTTCCTGGGGTTTTGATTTATAGCCAGGGTCACTCAAATCAGGAAAAGTTGGGATAAATCCAGCAGTGTGAAACACTGGAAAATCTAACTTCCTGGATGGCAGTGCTAAATAGTTCTGTGACCAGCTCTGTCAGGGTTTGGCCAGAGAAACAGAACCAGCAGAAAGAGTGTATGCACACACAAACTCTGTGTGTGTGTGTGTGTGTGTGTGTGTGTGTGTGTGGAGGTTTCACTGCTTGAAAATGGCTGATGTGCTTTGGGACTGGTTAGGCAAGTCAGATTTACAGAGAGGTGGTGGGAGGGACACATTACAACTCTGCCCAGTGGAAGCTGCAGTGCGTGGTTGAAGCTGCTTCGTGAAACCCCTCGGTTCTGCTTGCAAGGCCTTGCTTCTGGTGGACTTGGTCCCCAACGTCCACTCCGCAGGACAGTCTCCCTTCTGTAAAGTGATTTCAGGCTTTTGTCATATCCATGAAGTGTTTCACAGGGATGCTTGGCTTAGCATTTGGTCTGTGTCAAGTAGACACACAGAAAAGACCACATTGCGTGGTTGCCTGTTCCCCACCTTGCTTTACAATAACTCCCTTGTAGCCTGAGCAGGGGACCTCTCTGCCCCCTGCATCTTACTAGAGAAAACCAGTATATACATTTTCTCTGATACGCAGCCTGTCAGTTAATTCAATGTTTGTATGTTTCTAAATAAATGATTATCTGTCTGTGGCTAAGGAATCATTTCCAGTTGATTGGAGTTCCAAGGCAAGATCTTTCTCCAGGAGTGCCAAACAACATACCTTTGACACTATGAAAGCCATTGGCACACGTGAGTGTGCAAGAATAAATGAGCCCTTGCTGGGGGCTTGGCAGCAACTAGGCAAGACCGCAGCACTAACGGGCTGCAAGGGTGCTCTGAGTACATTGGTGAGAAGGGACGCTTGCTTGCTGAGCTACCTTGCTGAGCTTAACTAAATGGGACAGTTCCTCCATTAAGAATCTCATTGTTTTTCCCAAGGAGCCCCCCACAAAAAAAAGCAAACAGACTTAGCCCCAAGCCAAGAGTCCACAGTTGGATGGCTCATGCAGCTGCACATTTGGAGCTGTGTCTTCAGGGCATGGTCCTTGGATTCCACATCTTCCTGTGCCACTACCGTCGGGGTTGCATGTTCCGACACGAGGCAGGACTGTCTTTTCTGGCAGGGCTTCAGAAGATCCTCTCCGGAAAAGCTAGGTGAATAGACAGGCTTTTCTGTGGTGGTGTGCAGGAGGTCAGCGAGGATCTAGGCACAAAAGTTGTTCTCAGGAGCAAGCAAGTGGGCTGCTGTGGAAGGCCCTGGGCGTCTCCATCTGATCCTTGCTGGGCTATGGAATCATCCAGTTTACAAAATTCTTCTGAGTCTTGTGTCTTATTTCAGCTCTAGGAAGCTTACAAAACAGGCAGTGTCCCCATGGACAAGTAGGGGAGGCACAGAGAGGCTCAGCCACTCAAGGTCACGAACTGGCTCTTGGAGTCTTGGGGACCACAGATGCCCAAGACACTGCTGGTAGGGTGACTGGTGCTGGCGGAAGGCCACACTGCCTTTTCTTTGCTCTCTGCCTCTTCCCAGATGAGGGCTTCTCAGAGGTTTGCAGTTCCACACCCAATCACACTTCATTATGTCCAGGTTTCAGCCTCAGCACAGGAAAAGGAAGTACATTCGGAGGAGACAGCAGCCTTGGATGCAGCAGAGGGGTCTCCTACCTCACCCCTTCCTGGAGGCTCAGTCCTTGGAGCCCACCCGGAGCCTCCTCATGGTGAAGGCGCACAGCCGCTCCCCAGCAGACACTCAGGTACCCATCAGCCCAGCTTCGGCTCGAGGTGGACTTGCAGTCTGTCTCTGTCCCACCTTCACATGCTCATCTCCATCTACTGGACTCTCACTCCTTAGTGACCGTGTTTGTTCCTTTGACTCTTCTCTAGTCATGCTTGCATTTAGAAAGTTTTTGTCTAGCACAAGTTACAGGGAACATACGGTTTGGGGCCACACAGTGTATTGTCACTGTTTTCAAAAAATTGTTATCGAGATGGCAGGGAGGCCATCATCCAGGTAAGAAAGACGTGAGGCACAGGTGAGGGACACCTGGCCCTGGGCGTTTGACCCGCATACAGGTGAGCAGCGTGAGTACTGGAAGGGTGATCACTGGGGAAAGCCAGGAGTGCTGTGAGACTGAGCTGCTGAAGGGCGCGTCACAGTGCAGCAGAGGGAGGATGTAGGCCTGAAATGAAGGCAGGGGGAGAATGATGGGAAGGAAAGGAGGGAGGCAAGCCGCGCCTCGCTGAGGGAGAGGGAGGGAGAACTGTTTTGGAAACCAGAACCCTGCGGGTATAGGGTTTGAGTAGAGGCCTGGAGGACTTGGGGCATAAGAGGGTGCTGTGTGAGAAACGGCTCCTCAGGAGGTACAGTAGAAGGTGGGTGCTGTGGAACAGGCAGTGACAACCTGCACTGGGATGAGAGTGGGCTCCATGTGAGGAAGTGAGGGATGGAGGAGTTCTGGGGACAGGGAATGGAAGGTTTTGCTGAGTGATAGAAAGGAACATTGACTGAAAATGGGGAGCCAGGAAAGAAAGGTAAGAATGTGCATTTGGGGAAGTGAATAAGGGGGTCATAGGGGAGCTGAGAAAAATGTCCATCTATGGCTGTGTGTAGGAGCCTGGGAAGGGCGGGAGAACTGGGACAGCAGGGCAAAGCCATGAGAATCAGTGAGGTCACGGACGGAGGAGGATCTGGGCTGGGCTTCCAGGAGTCTGTCACAAGGGCAGGAGA